AGCCCTCGGGGCGCTTCAGGCCGCCGCTCCCCGCTGCTCGGCCAGCCCCGCCCTCAGCCGGGCGCGGGGCTGCGCCCGCCCCACACCGGGTGCCCAAAGCCGCCTCTCTGTCCCCCCGCACCAAGGCCGTGAGCGTTTCTGCTCATGGGTGTGATGTTGCTTTAGTGTCACATCTTCCCCAGAGACACGGCCCGAGTGTTCCTGCTGCAGCCGGGCCGTTCCGCCGGGGTCGGGGTCTCTGTGGGCTCCCCTGGCGGGTGCGCTCTAACCGGCTCCGTACCGCCCTGCGGAGGCACACAGGCCGCCGAGCCATTGCTGGCACGAATTAAATGGATACAAAACATCCATCCTCAGAGCACCATTCCAATAGCAAAGCCCTTGACTCCTGCCAGAGTCCGGGAACGCTGAGATGGGAAAGCTGGGAGTCTGCAGTGCTGCAGCTCCCCAGTGGGGCTCTCTTCACTCGGTACCTCCCAGTGCCCAAAGTGGGCATTTCCATTCAAATGGCCATTTCCAGCCATGGAAAATGGAGCCGGGCTGAGTGTTCTGGCCCAGGCCCCCTGTGGCACGCGAGGCTTTGGGATGCCGTTCATCCTCCGTGCAGTGCTGGAGCTGAGCCTGCTCCCTTTGCCTCTGCGGCCTCCCTTGTGGGATCTCTAGGTTTTCTCATCCCAAATTCGTTGTCTTGGTCCTTTATTTTTAGCCTGAGCCACTCAGTAATCCTTGAGGGTCATGTACAGCTTTTAGTTTGTCGCTTTTTTGTGTGTTTAGGTTTATTCGTTTTCTTTCCTTTTTTTTTTTTTTATTTTCTTTTTTAAGTGGAGACAGTAATACTTGGCAATGTTTGTGGGATTTAATTGCTTAAAGACGAATCCACTATTAAAAGCAGTCTTGTCTACTAGTAAAAACAATGGTTACTTCTGTGCGAGCATGTGCATTTTACTTATGTTGAAATATTTTGAATTATTATTTTGGTTAAAAAACTTTTTCCCAATAAAGGGTTATTTTGTCAGTGAGAACTTTGCACTTGACTTAAAGCCCTGGAGAGGACATGACAAGAGTCTCTAAAGTTCTTGATTGTTTTAAAATGTTAGATTTCATGTTAAACAAATATTTATTGCATGCTAATTTTGTTCTTTCAAGCCTAAATAAAAACCTTTAAAATAATGTTGGTTTAGGGGGAAAATAAATATTGTTTAGGGTCTCCTGGTAAATGTATTTTTTTATTTTTTTTTTACTTTTAGAGCATGAAGCTCAATTTTTAGGTGTTCCTCAATCAAAACAAGGATCAGTAAGTACAATTAAAGTAAAAAATCTGCATAGTGATGGATTTAAAATATTTTAAACAGCTAAATGGGAAAATTAGATACCCACAGGGTAGACCCATAAAATGAAGCTATTATCTTTCAAACAACCTCTTTGAACCAACAAATATAATATTCCTAATAATTGCTTGTATTTAAAGCAACTTGGGTAAAGCTAACATGAAAAGTTTCTTTTCTTTGAAAGGTGAATATCAGGACTTCTGAACAATATGAAAGAGATATATAAGCTTCTGAGTGGAAAACACTTTTCCAGAAAATGTTACCAGTATTAATTTCCAAATGATTGCTATTTCTTACAATGGATAAAGTATTTTTAAAATTGTGGTATCTCACCATATTCTCTCAAAAGGAGTCATATACCTTCTGTTAGGTTTGGATGATTTGACTGTGCTAGAAAATGCAGAAGTTTTTAAAGTATAGTTATATATTTTTAAGTATTCAGAAAATAAATAACTAATGCTGTGTTTAAATAAGAAATTATAATTCTATAATTTTTAGCTGTATATTTTATTTTTTCTGTTGAATTGGTTTGTATATTTTTATCTAGTCTGCTGGGGTATTTAGGCAGGATACATTTATTTTGAACAGGTGCCTTTGGAAAGAGCAAAGTTGCAGCCGTTACTTATGGAACAACTTTTTTCTGACCCTGCAACCCAGTATCGGGTTCCCACACTTGGGGAAGCCCCCTCTGGAGACCCCCCTGATCCAAAAAAATGTAAGTAGGAGTATATTATCTTGAACCCTGCTGTGATTATTTTTCTTGCATATGGCAAGGGTTTTGAATTTATTTAATTTAGAGTGTTAACAGCAACAACACCTTTGCTTGTGTGGAATTTGCATGGTTAGGCCTCTGCTCTGAAAACTGGGAGCTTGGCCACTTGGTCAGTGGAAGAAATATCAACTTTTGCATTACAAACCAATAACACTGACTAGCTAAGGTAGTTCTGTGCTCTTCTGAATAAGTGGCTTTTTATTTAGTCACTTAAATTAGAAATAGCAGGCATTTCTACCTCTGATTTAATAATGCAAAACTAGGATCAATAGACTAAGTAGACAATTGAATTTGCAAACTGCTGTCAGAATACTGTCTTTACCCATCTGATTACAGACTAGAATGGAAACAGCTCTGAAGTTTTGTTCTTCCACTTTTATCAATTCCTATACTTTATAATAAATTTAGCAAGCAGCAATGTGTTTTTATTATGCATTTTAGCCCTTCATTTTGTCTTCTCTTCCATTAATTCTCGCTCAGTAGGAATTCCTGGTGCAAGTCAGAAGCAGTGTTACCCTTGGCTTTTATAAAGAGTGTCCTCCCAATTATGAGCATTTCCTGGCAGTATATGAACCAATTAAAGGTATAAAGCTGAGAATAAATTCAGTGTTGCAGCTGTGTTGCCAGAAGAGAACACTCTATGACTTAATCTTTGCTGATCACACCAAGACCTCAGTGCTTCCCAATTGGAGAGAGGTGCCAAGCCAGACAGCCCTCAGAGAGGGGAAAAGTTGGATATATGGAGTTGTGTTAAATTCTCTGAAGGATCTGGCAAGTATGAACCAATTATGACAAAGAAATCACAGCACCACTAAAATGTAACCTTTGGTTTTTCCTCTGTCTAGAAATTTAGTTTTATGACTAACTCTGATAATGCAGATTGTAAAGGGCATGAGATATCAAAGTGGTCTAACTGCAACAGTGCTGAGTTCAGCACAGGCTAATTTCTTCCTGTCAGGGTCAATTAATTCACAAAACTTTTCACTTCTGTGACTAAACTGCTTCTGGTGTATGAGTTTATTCACTCAAAACTAAATCTGACAAAACTGAGTCACAGTGAGTTTGCAGTGTTGGTGCACCTTTAGTTTGAAATTTACTCAGTTTTGGGTTGTGTTGGCTGAGGAGAAGTGAAGACAGAGCCATGGCTAAAGGGAACAAATCTGCTTTGTCCAAGCTGTGATGGTATTGACAAAATGACTGGTACTGACTCTGTGATATCTAATGGTTGTGTGTTTGTGAAATCCAAGTGCTTAGCTGTAGGTGAAGGCTGTCCTGTTTTGTTCAGGTTCTCCTCGAGAATACTTGGAGTTTTACATATTCCCAGTGCTCTTACCCGGGCTGGCTGCTCTTGTGGAAGAAGCAGAGAAGGAGAAGTGCTTTGAGGTTAGTTTGTAGTTTTCATTTCAAGTCACTGGCAGGAAGTTACAGCCTTTTGTTTCACAGGCAGTATTTTTTTTAATTTGGTTTTTTGCAAGAAAACCAACCACAATCATACGATATAACATAGCATGGGTTGTTCTGGATCTGGTTTTAAATGTTATTTGCTCCAGTAATTCAGAATAGGTTACATTCTACATGAACTTGATCATTATGACAATCTCTAGGTCCCTACAAATCCTCCTTAAATATCTGATTGTATCTAGTCTAAATGGTGTTGTGTTGTGTTTTAGAGGAGCAGGCTTCCTATCAGATTAATACATTTCACTCATTTGAGGGTGATGTACAGAACTTGAATTTTACTTTGTGACTCAATTATTTTTGCTGGTCTGGCATTGTAATAGAGATAAATTTTCTATTTTAGCTTTTCTTTGTAAATTCCATTTAACTGGAAGACACAGTATCAAGCATGAATGAGCTTATAAAAATGCAGATTTAAAAATAATTATTTGCTACATATGTTTTTATAAATTTGTTACCACTGTATGTCTGGAGAGAAATTCTTCACTGTCTGTAAGAAATGCTTAAAAACCCACTAGAAATGGTAAAAAATATGGCACAAATACATTCCTCATTGTATTGCTGCAGCCTAGCAGAGCCCCAGCAATAGCTTAGGTACTGGGAGCTGGGGGGATTCCCATCATTTCTGATACTTTCTCAAACCATGGCAATTTGAATTTCAGATCCAAACCTGTACATTCAATACCAGTTATTTCAAATTTTTCTCAGTCTTCACGAAATCTGTGTGTGTCTATAAACTGATGGATGTGCAGGTGTGCATATGTATCTCTAAGCTGTGATGAATACAGATGAAATTGGAAAATGGCTCGCTTACATGACATCTGTCTGTCATTCCTGCCATCATATTTACATTACCTAGCCAAGAACAGATTGGACATATATATTATTCATCACACTTTTAATAAAATCTATATTGATTTTTTTTCTTGAAAGCATGTATCCTTTAAGAAAAAGGCATGTCCTACAAGTGGCTTAAAATACAGGCTTTGATAGATGTTAGCTATTTCTGAAGGCAATAAAACTTAGATATAAAGATATTTTACAAAATATTAAAATTCTTAGAAATATTTCCATTTCAAACTCAGAACAAATCTAAGATTACTTTGTCTATTTTTAATCTGAGAAATTTTGCAGATTTTAGTGATATTTATATTAAAAAGTGTCTGTGCTGAAAATGGATTTTGTATAGGTCTGTGTGCTGCTTTGTAGAAAACTACTAAAAGAAATTATTTTCTAATGTACAGAAACTTGATAAAAATGAGTTCATCTTATAGAAAACACACTTATGTGGAAAGATGCCCTGCTACTGGGGAGCCAAGCTTAGAAAAGCAAGCTGATGTCAGGTGATAGTTTTCCACTGTGACCTCATTTCTTCCTCCTTTTGAAGAATAACTAGGCAAACAATAGCTGTTTATGCTTGCCATATAATTGAGTATTTGTGTTCTTTTCCATTACTGTCCAGGTGCTTGTACTTGCACATTCTGTTTCCTTATCTGACATAAAATGTGGTTTTAGTTATCCTTTAGATTGGTAGGAAATGTGTTGTTCCATATGGATTTGGAGGGGAAAAACCCCAACTTGATATAATTTGTGTTAAAATGGCTAATGAAATAACTTGAACTGAATTTTAGGATCAAAAGCAGAGTCCTTAGAAACCCAAAGTAAGAACAGGGAGAAAGGATCTTGTGATAAACACATTGAAATACAACTTCCAAAAATAAGAGGACAACAAAGATTGAAAAGATTCATGGAATTCATGAGACAATAGGACATGAAGAAGATTAATTGTGATTAAACTAACTGAAATCATGAAGGATGAGAAAAGAATACTGAGTTTGAATTCTGGCTAGACATGGGTCATTAAAGCCTGTAAAGGGCAGTTGTATAGAATAAACCAGGGGAAGATAAATGGAAGAAGCCCTGGGAGGAAGGGAGGAATACTCAAACTGACTGCAATCAATGTTGAATGAGCCCAGGAGGAGAGAGAGGGAATGGCGAGAGAGAGTGATGAGTGTGATTTTGATGAGAGGGACTAAAGGTTTTCATGTTTTGAAAGGAAATTAAGATGAATGGGAAGGAAGGAAAAGTTAAATAGGAGAGGTTTTGAGCAATTGAACTTGTGTTAAGGAAGATCAGATCCTGGGGCCAGCAGAGGAATTCAAGGAAGAGCCCAGAGAAGGTGCATCTGGAGAGGAAGAATTGGACAATCACCTGGGAAAGTCAGGAAAGGGAAGTGGTTATGCTGGAAGTGGGGATTTGTGTAGGAAAGATCTTTTTTGAATGGTGCTAAAGAGGCATAACAATTTACACATTTAATTTAAAATAGCCTCTCTTGCATTATGTGATCTGAAAAGCCAAAGCCTAGAAAAACCAGCAGCTGCTAGATATATGTGCAGACTTCAAACTGACATAAAGATGAGAAAAGTCTGCAGAAGCCTCATTTTTAAATTAGAGATGAAAGAAACCTATTAGGTTGCCCAGTGTTTTCCTCACTGTTTTTTTTTTTTTTCCCTACCATAAGTTCTCCTGTGTTTTATCCCATCTGCTGTCAAATGCCTACAGGGGAAAGACTATTTTCTTAAATCTTTTCTCTCATGAGAACTGACTAATGCATTAATTTTTCAGCATTAAACTGAACAATGTATATAAAGTGTTTTTATTAGAATAACTCTGACTTTTATTTCTAGTTATCTATCACAGAAGGAGGAAGCTGTATCAGGCTCTGTAATGGAATATATTGTATTTAAAATTAAGATAGATTGGGGAAAGGGAATGGAAGGTTTCCTAATGACTTTGCCATCTTCTGATCACCAGTATAGTTTCATGATTATTACCAAGCACATCATATTTAAACTGAAAAATGGAAAATGAATTCTGAATGTAAACAGTTTATAAACACATCTGCAGGTTAACAATGCACATTGTACAGATATTTCCTGTTTTTATCCGGATTCATGCAGCATAGGAGGAATGTGTCAAAGGCAGGTCAATTCATGTAATTTTTTCCCTTTATAAATGTTGACTGCTGTGCAACTAATGATTTAATTCTCTAGCAAAATAAACTGTTTCCTGGCAAAGAAAATAAAATAAAAAAAATATTCAGCTTGATTGAATTCCTCTCTGCTAAGTTCATTGCCTCTAACAAGGATAAAACAAGATGAATTTGATTCCTTTGGTGATGGCTGTTTTGACAACCCTGTTCTGATCATTTTTTCCCATTGCAAAGGAAAAGCAATTTACTTAGATTAAATTACAACTGCTAGATTAAATTGAATTTTGTTGTCAAAGTGTAGAATTTATTCTCTGAAACAATTCCCTAAGTAATGGGACCCATTTTCATCCTGTGACTGAGAATAGCTGTGCAGTGACAATCAGACTCTGCTGTTTGCTTACAGATTCTGTGCAAGTCAAGATTTGTCCATTTAACATCTGAAGTGACTCACAGAAAGCTTTGCAGTGAAGGTATTGGTCTCTTAAAGTTTAGGTGTTTGGCTTCTTGGAAGAGCATTTGGTATTGGCATAAATGTGAAAATTGCATGAGGAGCTTTGTTTCTTCCCAGCCAGGCACTTAATGGAGCCCTACCTGAACCCCAAAGCTTTGGTTGTCACAAAAGAGGTCATCAAGGCACTTATGGCTCAGGATTAATAATTCTTTTATGGTGACTTCATCTTCTGTTCTTCTGCTTTCTTTTGCTCTTTTTTTTTTTTTTTTTTTCATTATTTTTTTTTCCCTGTTGAAGTCAGACCATATTTCTACCAAGGGTAAGATTCCCTTGGAAAATTAAAAGCTTTCCTGGATATCCTGTAGGACTGCCCTGCAGTCCAGCACTAAACTTCACACTTGTCATCCCCCAGCTACATGACTTCCCTGTGTTCTTCCCTGGGCAGTCAGCACCTCACACAATGTTCCTCTTCCACTTCACCTGTGGCTGACCCCCAAATTATGACATATACCATGAACTGAAAGAATTAGGCTATGTAGAGCATTTTTTCCTGCCTCTCTGTTCACATCCGAGGATAATGCATAGAATAAATACATTTTTCATGCATTAGATTTTCAATTACATGTTTATTGTATTTTCCTTAGCAAGTGGTAGTAGTATCTTTACTTCTTACATTTTAATCAAGACTTCAGCCTCTTTTGTGACATTAAGCAGTTTCACAAAAGCATTTGACTGGTGTGAATTGTTTTTCTAAGAAGCAATTATTACAGCTGAATCTCCTGTTTGATGGGTAAGTGTTGGGATGGGAGCTCAGCTTGCTTTTAGCTCAATGGCTGCTGTTGTGATGAAGCACTTGGTGCCCCTGGGCTGCAGGGGCTCAGTGTCTTTCAGGGTTCACTCTGACTCTGAGCATCCAGAACACATCTCATGTCAGAGGGGTTCTCAACACACTGGTCAAGCTCTCCTGTTATTCCAACCAGAACTCTATGTTCTACTCTCCACATGATGGTTACTGTGGTTTGTGATAAGCAGAATGAGCACCTGTACTCATTTATACATTCAATCTGTCAAGATGGAATGTGGAGAGGAAATCCTTAAAAAAAAAAAAAGATTTCCTAATCCATTCTGGCCTTATCAAAATTCAGGCTCTGAGTGGCTGGCTGTGGTACTGGCTGCACGAGTCCCTAAGGATAACCTGCTGCAAAACATTTTGCAAAATCCTTTTTATTCATTAAGATTGAGAACAGGGAGCAAAGAGCACAGATTTTTTGCTGTGAAGCTCCAGGTTTTGAACTTTCTACCTGGTTCTCTGTAATGTCCATGGTTTCTGTGGTTGTGGACAGACAAAAGCCTCCCTTTGGCTTTGCCTTCCTTTCTGGACACCCAGCAGATAATTTGGTCAGAGCAGCCATACAATGCTCTGTGTGTATTCACAATGTCTTCAAGCTGGTTCCATGCAGAAGGAAACAATATCCAATCAATGTTCCTTCTGTGTTTTGGAAGAAATGAAGTATTTTGAGTATGATAATAAACTTTAAACAAAATGGCAAGGAATTTACAACATATTTTCATGTATGAATGGGTTCTGTTAATTTCTTCACAATGACATTGCCACTTAGAGCACCATTCAGAGATCTTTGTTCTAGATACACTATAGCAAATATCAAGATAATTTATGTAGAATTTTCTCACTCATAGTTTGTCTTGAAATCATTCCACAAAATTTCTAAAATTTTGGCTGAACCACTGACTGTTGGCAGTATCTATAAAGAGTAGACAGAGTAATGTACTGTATATTTTATTTAATAAAAACAGTCAATTTAGCTTAAACATATGACCAATCCAAAGATAATAAATAATTTGAAACTATCTTCTATCTTTAGGGGAAAAGAACCAAATTTATTCCCTCTGATTTCCTAACTGAGTGGTTATACAAGTAAGTTAATCATGTTTTTTTTGCTACTAAGTGTGTTCAGTGATTCCAAGGCACTAATTTGCAAATTGAATAGCTGAAATTTAAATTAATATGAGTTGTTTTCCTTTTTCTTTAGCAAGAATCCAAAGAGGAAAGATGAGTCATTCACAGAATTGTTTTCCATTCCTTTTGTTAAGGACTGGCTAAAGGACCAGTAAGTTATTGCAGTACTCAGAATGATCTTTTCTCCTTTTATTCTTTTGCCCCTGCTATCCCAAAAAAGTAATAGACCCTCAATGTGTTGCAGCTGTGCCCTCAAAAATGCCCTTTACTGTGTGCAACAAAGAACAGTGTGATAGTTTCTAATACTAATGATAGTTTCTAATGTGATAGGCTAGTGTATTACAAGGTATTTTGTACCAGAATTGTTCACAGATAAATTAATTTTGAATTCCTAAACATTTTAATTGTAGAATGCAGGATATTTGTCTGGTTGTGTTATGAAGATCTTTGTACTAAGGAGTAAAGCAATGTTTTCAGTGCTGCTTCCTCCTATGGGAATCTTTGAGAGTATAGGCAACAAATTCTTCTCTAACTGTAAGCAGCTGCTTTCGAAATACCTGTAACAATCCTTGGTGTCAGGATGCTTTCCTGCAGACATTTGTGACTTTGAGAAATGAGCACTTGATTCTGGCAGCCTCAATCATATATTCTGTGTTTTTTTGAGTTCTTGACACGTGACACTTGGAATCTTGAGACACCAATGGAGCAAGAGGGAAGTTCCTTATCACAGGTCTGTGGATAAGCTGTCAAAAGGGTTAACTTTGATTTCCAGAGAGGTGGTCATGTGGCCAGAGTTGTGTAGGACATTTCTGTAGTATGAGACCCCTTTGGAGAATGACCCATTTCATCCCAACTCTGATACCTTTGGCCATTGTGCTGTCCTGCCACTGCCACTGCTGTTCAAAGCTGCCTCTGGTGGGACACATCTGCTCCATTCTGTCAAACACACTTCTTGCCAACAAGATGCCCATTTAAGGCTGAGGTTTGGTGCTTTGTAAAGTGAGCATGAGCTGCAGTCTGGCTGTTGTACCCATCTCTTTAAGCACACAGAAGAGCCCTTGGCCAGTAAGGCAGTTTTGATACAGAGGGTTTGTGAGGACGGATGTTTGTACCAAAGGTAAAATCTCTAAGATCAGTTTTACAGATGTTTCTCTTGGAGGTAAAGCTGAGCAAAACATTCTCTGTTCTTCACCCCAACCTGCTGTAGGCACCCTAATACCACGTTGTCTGTTTGGTAGGGTGCTTGATTATTCTGATCAGGGCCCTACTCTGAGTTAGGAATCTCTCTGCCAAAATGTGTGAGGAGGGTTTGTACAGCTATTTAAAACAGGTAATTTCTCCACTCTGCTTCACCTTGGAGAGTGACAAACCTGTGTATTGGCACAAACAAAGGATTAAAATGAAGGGCTCAGGGCAAGGTGAATAGAACAAATGAGCTGCTAAGATAGAGAGGTGGTGGCAGGAACTGCTTAAGTCAGCTTTGCCAACAAGAGAAATACACTGTGGAATCACAGCCTGAATGACTCATAGCTTCTGTTAGTAGTGGTGCTCCTAAATAACGTAGTGACAGCTCCACAAGGACACTGGAGTGTCAGAGTCCTACTGAAGTTGATACACTTCATCTTAAATGCTCTAAACCAGTAGGCTCTTAAAATAATAATTATTAAAATTATTATTAAATAACTACTTTTAGTGAGCTTATCCTAAAATTACAGATTTGAAAAATGCTGCTTCTGGAGTAAATATTATTGGAGCAAAGTGAAAGGCTGCAATATTAAATAAGAATAAAAATAAGAGAATTTATTATTATGTCCTGCATATGTCATAAATAGTTTATTATTATATCTTTCCAGTCATCAGACTTAAAATGTAATTGATTCTGTGTTTTTTATTGTCATTGCCATTTCTATTTTTAAAGGAGTTTTCATTTTTTAAACAAGATTAAGAATATATGAGACAACATACTAAAAAGTGCTGGTCAAATTTTGATGAAAAACATCCTTATGCCAATTGTTTAGATGGGTTTATCAGTTCCAAGCAGTCCTAATGCTTAAAAAAACCCAACAAAAACCACCAAAACAAAACCAAAAAAAAAAAAAACAAAAAAAACCAGAGGAATTTTGGTTTTGTTCTATCTGAGATCCAGCTTTTAAAAATATATTCAATACTTGAGTATGACTTTTTTGGCTCTCCTCCAGTGCCTCCAGTTTCTTCTTTGAAGATCCTTTTTTTTATTTTTTTTTAAAGAATAGTCAAAGCCATAGTCTTATGAGCTTCAGTTTCTGTGCAATGCGTTTCTAAATGAGATCTTGCAGCCTAGTTTTCCCTAATAAGGAGACCTAAATGCTGCTTCAGTTTTCAGAATTTTAAATGCAAACCTTGTACCTTCAAAGCCTAGTTATTGTAGGTGAAGGAGCTTGTAACATTTGAATTTGTTTCCAGCTTTAGTGTAATAATTGCTGACATCTTAGTATAGGTACCCTGTATTCCACTGAGTTCTGTATGTTACTAGTAGTGCTGACAAAATATTACATCTCTTGGGAATCTTCAATTCCCCAAGCACGTTTCAAAAGCAACAGAAGGAGCAGCTTCAGTGCTGACTGGTAATCTCCATATCACATGCCAGACATTTCTGTTGCCTCAAAGGACAGCTGCACCTTTCAGAGGGCAGAAAAGTGGACCTTGAACACAAAACCAGCACATGTTTGTTGGGTGCTTGCTGAGATACAAACTTATGTACCTGTTCCTCCATTCAAGGCTGCTGGAAGAACCAAGGGAACAGAATTAGAGCTGTGAATGTTCTGTAATCCTATAAATATGCTAATGAGCTCCACAGTTGCCTTTTGTCAGCATTTTCCAGTGGTGTTTCTGGTTGAACAGCACTGAAGTTCAGTTGCAAGTAACCAAGCTCTGTGTACTGAATCAGGGCCAGGGAAAGTCAGTGAGCTCTGATGATGCTCTGATCCCTCTGAAATTTTACTTTTCTGGCATAGATAGTCTGAGTAACATGGCAGCATCATTTCCCAACCTTTTTTAGCATATTAATGAAAGAAATATGAAGAAACCAATAAAGCACTCCCTCTGCTCTGAAAAACAGTGATATCATAAAAGTCTGTCATGTATATTTAACAATTTGACAGCATTGTTCAATATAAACCTCGACCTTACATCCAATAAGAGAGAGCGGTATATGGTATATATTAGGAACAAGCATAAGTATTTCATGGCTTTTGAAGTTTACATAAAAAATAATTCACAGGATTTTTTTAATCTGTATTTTCTCCTTTTTTATTAGAGAGATTTACTTCCTACCCAGTTCAGAAGGACACATTTCCTGGTTTAATCTATCTGCATGTACCAAAACAAGTGTACAGACACAGAGAAAATATCTTTATCATGGCCTTACTGAAGTGGGCAGCTAAGATATAAACAATTACTAAATTTGGAGTAGTGGCTTTTTGCCAAATATCTGTATACATATATATATACATTGATTATTTTTTTTCTCCCTCCCCCAGATATTTTAATTGGGTGAAGTCTGCTGGTCTCAGCTGCCTTTACAGTTGATTTCATTGTCAGCTCTCAGATGGCCAATAGGGCTAATTTTGCATGGGTGACTGATTTTTTTTCTTTCCATAATATGCCCAGTTTCTACAGGCTGTGCTTTCTGCACACTGCCATATTTCATTGGTGTGTGTCTAAACCAGCCATGTTTGGAGTATGCTTCATTTGCCTTATATTTTCTTCTTTCATTTTCTTGAATAATTTGAGCTTTAAAGAACATTTTATTGTAATAACAGAAAGACCAACAAATACATCTCCATGGATGTTATTTTGTGTGTTTCCTAGTAAAAATTGCCATTCAAGTAAATGTGGCAGAATTCAAATTAACAAATGAGAATTTTTTTGCTTAAAAACTGTGTGTTGAAATACTGCAGAAATTTTCAGAGTAAAATATTTATATTTCATAACAGTGCTTTATGGGGTTGAAGGTTTTATGCCTGTAATATCTGATGCATTAAAAATGTTTTAATTTATATAAAGGTTGTCAAAATGGCAATGAGAAAACTGAACATTTATTAGTGCTTTGTGATATCTTCCTAATGTTGCTGTTGGAGCACTAAGGGGAGCTTTTCCATGTTTTCACCATACAAAGTCTGACCTAAAGTACACAAACATAGATGGAAATTTTCCTGCCGACATGAGTGGCCTTTGGAATAGATCCATGTTTGGTTTCCTTCAGTCCAGGCCCACAAACACTCTAAATCTTCAGACAGAACTGAAGACAAAAGATTCTTGCTCTGCTGTTTCTTGGCATGTTCTCATCACAAAGACTTCTTGCTGTGCTTTCTCTAATTTCTCTGACATTCTTGTTACAAATCACCTGTTCTGCCTCAGTCTCCTGTTGGTTACATGACTCTGCCTCCCCACATAACAACTTTGTCATGTTAGTTCCACACTGTCTTGTCTTTTTATCATGTCTTTTCTTCATTATAAATAGATAAGCAAGTATATAAATAGCTGGTATGTGTTTGACAGTTGAATGCATATTGTCACTATGGTGACTTTAATAGCACTCTCAAATGTATTTATAACATTTTTTAATTCTATTCACTATTGACAGTATAAAGGAGCTTTTATTTGGACAACATGATAGAGAAGAAGAGTTCTAGTTAGTAGGAATCACACTTTAAGATATCTACTTGGTTGCAGTTCCTCTTTTAAGAGGTTTAAATTTGGTCTTAATTTACAATCCTTCAAAAATGTACTCTCCATATAATGCACTAAAATGTTTTATTGTATATTGTAAGGGTTTTGTTTTTCTCAAATACTAATAATATTCTAGTGCATTTAGATTGTTGTAAAAGAAAACTAGTGATTAGGAATTTATTTCTGACTGGAATAATTGTAATAATACGGAAAATGTTATAAAGGTCTCAGTTCACATTCTATTTGACCTGTGAAAATGTTTCAGGGTACTCTTGTCAAGTGTCTATGGGAATATTTCCCTGAAAATCTGAGAGGCTCATACAGTGCCTGTGTAACATTTGATCAATATATGTAATTGATTTTAAATACCAGGCCAGATGAACCAGTACTTCAGTGTCTGATTGCTTATGAACCACCATTTTCCTGCCTTTGAAATGACCTTCATAGTATTTGTAAGCAGAGATTTTTGAGACATTTATTTTGAGTCAGAACAGTACTTTTTCATTATTGCACACTTTTGGAGATCTGGATAGGCATGTAAGAAGAAAGATGTAACGAAGGCAGCTGTTTCTGTAGTGTTTCTAGATCCTAAGAAATAGTGCAAATATGAAAGATAACTACTTTGAGAAATTTCCAGGAGAGCTTTTTTGGTTGTTCAGACCAGCACGGGATTTTTTTGAGTATTTCCCAAAACAGACTTTTTCAGAATGTTTTTTAAAGAGTTATACAGATCATCACAGTCATTTACTTGTGTGTCTTATATTTACCCCTCTTCTGTGGCCTGTTCTCTTGGATTATGATTTTTCAGTGACTCTATCATTGCCTGTGTTCCTACATGATCTAAATATTCAAGAACAATAACCATCACAGTTAAACTATGGCTGTGGTACTGAAACTCAGGAGTCTCCTCATCCTTTTCATTAGGGTTGCTTCAGTATTTCTAGAGAAGAGCTTTCTAAAAGCAGAGAGAAACCCAGGCTCTTCTGTGACTGCACCTGGAGATTCCTCTCTCACCTGCACACCACCAGCCCCAGGCAGAGCTGCTCTCTGCAGGCACCTGGCTCTAAGGCTGCTGCTTAAATGTGGGGGTTGTCTGCTACTGTTAGGGAACAGATTGGAACAGGGAGAGCCATTACAAAACCTTGAATTATATATACTGAAAATTTTCTTGATTGAATTTTTTCTTTTATTTTATTTCCAAGGAAGGAATCAGGCCTATTTGTAAGACAGACTGGGAATGTGAAGACAGAGTTCTGACAGGGCATTACTGTGTGGAAATACTGCCAGAATTCAGTGCCCATCACTGTGACTATGAACCCCCAGAGATTTTGTCTATTTTGGAGACAAGATAATGGAGAGGCACTTTTCCTCCCTCTTTCAGAATTCATTGAGAACCCCATCTTCTGTCCATGAGGAAATCAGATACATGTCTTCATTAAGAACCTTTTTCAATGCCTCCTACATTTATTTAATGCAAGTCTGTTTTGTATCTTCAGGGTGTGAAATTCCACTTGCATAATGTCATATAAGTAGTGAATATCTCACAGACTCAAGATCTGTACAAGTTTGCTCAGAAAGCAAGAAATGTGTTTCTGGAATTTAACTTTGCTCAGTGTCTGCTTTATGCAGATTTGGTAAAATAAAATACTTAAGAAAAAAAAAAATTATGCTCTTTTACAGGTGCAATTTATGTTAGACAGTAAATGTATATGTAAATAGATATCACTGTTTCATATGTGAGCTTTTAAGATCATGCATAATCAAGGACTAAATAAGCAGAATGTAGTTAGTGTACATTGTGCTGTCAGTTTGCATCTTGGAGGCATACAGCTGTCTTCTGCCCAAATGACAGACTCCTCTTGCCCTCATTCACTGCTGAGGGGTGATTGCCTCTGCTCAGATTCTATTTTTATTTGACCTGCAGACAATTGTGTATATTCTCCATTTATGCCCTTAGACCAAACTGGAGCTGGCATGACTTCTGGTCTTTAGAGCTGTGCCATTGAAAGGATTGGTATCTGCCAGTGAGTGTCATACTAAAAATTAAATCCCGGTTTTGCTTGATTTTTTTTTTTATATTGCTTTCTCAGTTTTAGTGTTGGATTATAAAATAGACATTTTTATAATTTGAAAATGAAAGCAAAGAAATGCTAGAGTTGACCTTGCAGGCTAGGAGAAATCTCAAGTTGTTCTTTGGAGATGTACTTTTTCTTAGAGGAAGTTCAATGTCTTTGATATAACTACTGTAAAATATGTAGGTCTTCCTGTGATTTTTCCCTAAGTTTTGGTTCTCAGAAAGATCTAAAATAGAACAGAGGATGAAAGCCTATCAGGGAAATAAGCACAGTACAACTTCAGATTTTTAAGTCTGATTATAAGAAGCTGTTATCTCAGGAAGCCTTGCTTGTCCAGCATTTATGATTTCCCCTGAGCAGGAGAAATGCTAATTAATGTTCACAGAGCTAAGATGGTTTAGCTCAATGGAGAGACTGCTTTTTATTTTTGCCTTATTTCGACTTTTCCAAACAGACCAAGGTTTTACTTCACATTAAAATAAATGTAGGCCAAAACCCAGCTGACATGATGATGAGACCAATTTAGCTGAGTACACAGACTAAAACAGTGGAGTCACTGTAGCATTAGATAAGAGGTAAGGCTGTGCTCTAAGTTGAAATGTTCCTGCAGTGGAGACAAGCCCTAAGAGAAAGACATCAGAGAGCATAGGAAGCTTACTAGGGCAGAGACTAATATGAATGAAATTAAGTGAAAGGAAAATGTAAGCTGTCAAGCCTCCTAGCTTGGGCTATAATATGCCATAAATAAATTTCCAAAAGATATTGCAGCATTTTAGCCAGAAAATGTAAGACTGCATAAATAAATAGCTTGTTATTGATGGGCTTTGCAGTGTACGTGTCTTTATAAAATAAATACTATAGATCATGTTTCTGCATGGGCTGCATGTGTCTGTGGGTGGGTGCTGCATCCAAATTCATCATGGTGTGTTCTTCCAAGTCAGGGCTGTGTTCAGTCTGTTCCCCATGCAGGGAGAGTGGCTCTTGGCAGCTGTGCCAAGGCTTCTCTTTAGAACTGGTATTTTCATCAGCTGCAGTGTTAGTACCCTATAGTTCACTGGCTGCAAATTACATTTCTTATAAAAGACAGTATAGAAACAAAATTGGTTTTATCCTTTCCAATGGATGATTTTTTTTTGGTCATTGTGTCTGGAAATTAAATTAACACCCATAGAAAATGGCTTTTGGGAAGCAAGGTTTGATATAGTCATGTGAGATTTTGCTAGTGATGGCTGAATTTAATTACTAGCTTGTTCCCATTAAAATTGATAGCTACAGAATCACCAAATGTGCTTTCAAATTACCATATATTTTGGCTGAAAATGGTTGAGTTCACAAATGTATCACATTCTTTTATCACCAAAGAGAAAGTGTATATGGTATCAAAAGTAAAATCTCAGCATTTCAAGAACTTGTTTAGACATTTCTAAACATGGATTCATGCTATGCAGATATGATAATCATTATTTTTCAGCACGTTTTAATTTAAAGTGACACCATAATGTAAATGAATGTACTAAGATATGTTTATATTCTGTGTATTTCATGTAATAAACATTTACATCATAAGTCTGTTCATTGTTGCACACACACTAAAACCTTCCTTGATTTACAAATGGCAGAGTGCTTCCCTTGCCCACCTCAAACCTTACCATAATAGAGGGAGTTTGAAATACATGAACCAGAATAAGGAAGATGACTGTGCTTGATGTGCCATTTGTATATTATTGTTTTAAGAAGGAATTTTTGTAGTGCATATTAACAATATATTTGTAAAGGAGATATTCTTTGTACATTTTGTTTTCAGAGCAGTAAGAAATTGTGTCTTTCAGGCTCCTAAACAACATTTCTCTTTTTGATAAAATATACTGTTAGGGAAGTAAGTGTTACACATTTATAGGCTGTCTGTTTAAAAAAAAAATATTTTTTTTAAGTCCTAGACCACCAATTCCTCTATCTCTGCTTATATCAGAAGAAGAAGCAAGCATACTAATTCAGTCCTTCTGGAGAGGTTATCGGGTAAGAGTAATCTATAATTATTTTGCTTGATGTTGAAAACTGTAGGACTGTGAAGGCCCCGGGGAAAATCCTTACATAAATTTTAAGTAGGGGATACTATAAATAGCTGCTGAGACCCCTATGGTTCATTGGCTTTGGATGTTGCTCTGCCTTATGCCTAGTGACTACAGTTTTTTCACAGGCATTTATGCTGATGTAATCTCACTGTTTTCCTCAACAACAAAAAATGCACAGAAATTCGATTTTCCAAAGTACAATTAACACTGAACGATTTTCTTTCTTTAATTGAAAGTTGCTTTGGGTAGTTCTCGAGGATGGAGTGTGACTTTGCTTCATGCAGGGATATTTGAGTGAACGTGGGGATGCATGAGGATTGGTGAGGTCTCTTGAGAAATAAATGCACACAGAAAGAAAGGACAAGGAATTGAGACCAAGAATGAGACAGGAGATTTATGAGTGGCATGGAGGCTGTTATTCAAGGAAAAGGGAAACAAAATGACAAGCAGATGTTGTAAGGCATACTAGTAACACAGCATTAGTGCCATTCCCTGTTTAACGGGGAAAAGCAAGGTACATAAAATAAATGCAAAGAAAATTATCCAGTGCTATTATTTTGGAAAGTAACAGCCATGCTAACCCTAGGATACTAAATAAATTAATATGAAAGTCCTAAAAACGTTTAAAATAAAAAAAAATATTTTTTAAAAGCTCTAATACCTTCACACCTCAGGAAGAAATGGACTTGAAATTCAGGTGACTTTGGTGATGAAGAAATGTCTTTGACTTCCTTTATCAAAACTTAAGCTTCTAAGCAGCCTCCAGCAATTTTGTTGTGATGGACAGTGAGATATCTCAGGATGTCAGGTGCTCTTTAAATAACAATCAGTATAAAACACTCTCTGTTAAGTTCTCTACTATGTTTAAGAAGCATGAATATATAAGTGGCTTCTATAATGTTCTGTGCAGCCAAATATGATGAAATACCTTGAAATGTTCTTCTTGGCTGATGGATTTTTGTGACTCTTTCTGCTTGTTTGTTTTCCTTTATTTTTCTTTTTTTAAGCAGAGACAGCATTGACACTAACATTAATTAGCACTGACAGTATCCCTGCAGGCATCCTTACAGTGGAGGCAACCATTATCCAATAACAGTTATGTTTGCTGAACACTGCAAGGTTGTTCAGATATCTTCTGCTTCTCTGAAAGCTTGTGAAGGGCACAATTCTTCCTTGTATAGATGAACTTTTGCAATCAGAATATAAAATAAAAATCATTAGTAAAAAATTACTACATTGGGCAATGTGTTATCCTTGGGCTTGCAGATTAAGAGAACACTAAGCTTAAATGGGATTTCATCACATTAATGATGTTATGAAAAATTACCAAAGAATTCAGATTATTAGCTTTTAAAATAAATAGCTCAGTCAGCTAATGCTGATTTAATAGCTGATAATAACTGAATACCTACAAATCTGATTTAATAGCTGATAATAACTGAATACCTACAAATAATGCCTTTTTGCATCCTCAAGATATTATTGTGTCAAAATTTGAAATTATTTTCTGAAGTTTTTTATTAAACCTTGTTTTATAATTCAGAGGCTTTAGAACTTTGAAATCCTGCTTTTGAAATAAAATTTACACATTGTGATAATAGTGGATAATTAAACATGAGCACACAGATACATGACACTGGGATGGAGAGACAGGGTATTTCATCCTTGGTCTTCTAAGACATCTTCTATGGACTCAGACCATTTTAGAGGTATTTTGTTGACCATATTGATTTAGGCAGTAGAGTTTATCTAGTTATATAACTGACTGAGCATCATGTCTTCTCTTGATACTTCACTTGTTTCTGCTACCTCCAGCTGTCTGAGCATGCCAGTATCAGAAACACATGGCAAAAAATGCAAAAATGGATCAGGCAGTAAAGTTTTTTCTGTGTAAAGAGAGGAAAAAGCTATAGGTACAGAATCATGAAAACTCTGACAATAAAGCATGATCAAAACAGTAAACTCATCCTTATCTGCAGCACATTTCAGAAAAACACTTGTTTAATTGTTGTAGTAATAATTAATGGCTGCCATCAACCAAGTCCTTGCAACAATCTTTCATACAAAGACACTGATGGGCACTCTGACAATTATTTCAAGTTTAAGCAAGAATTGAATTCCAGAACAAATAGCAGTGAAAAATACAACTGATGATTTCTCTGAGGAGATCACAGAAAGGAAGACATCTTCTTGAGAGGGCTCTTTGAGGGCCAGGAGGAGCACTCAAGTAAGACTTGAGACAGCTCTGTCATCAGAATTCTTTCTCTTCCCTTTCCACCATCCTTTTTTATTGAGGTTCCATTCATCTGTCACAGGCCAAGGCAGTATTCAGCTAGGTGTCAATTTTCTAGGCACTTCTCCAACAAAAGATGATACATTCCTTCACCCCTCTACTGCAGTCTTTGCTTAGTGCCTTTTTTTTTTAATGGGATCTTTTTAGTCTTGAAAATCTGCATAACCATTCTCGACTAACAGAAATTTTTCATTAATAGAATTTCCTCTGATGTCTGTGGGTGAACCTTTAGTGTCACCCTTATCTGTTGTATATGTTCTCACCTAGCACTGAAAGCATGGGGTTTTTGACTAAATCTTGTAGTATCTTAGAGTTCAAATTAGACAGTATTATGTAAATACTCAGTGCTATTTTATGTACAGCTTTTGAGCAAAAGTTGAAGATAAAAATGCTTCAGTTTTGCTTTGTAGCTTGCAAAGTGTAGTTGTGCTTTTGCTATCACAGTTTATATTGCTTTCCAGCAAGCTGTGGCTACCAGCAAAGGCTTAAACCCAGAAGGTCACACAAATATTCACTGTTATTTACATCAAGTGTAGGAGTGAACTTTGCCTTCAAAGCTAAGACCCCTCCAGGGCTTCAGGCAGTTCTGGTCTGCAGGAGAGACAGGTCAGTTGTTTGGACAAGACTCTTGACTCTCTTTATTTGCCTGGAGATTTTGCTACTAAGTCATGGCTTTTTCATCGTGCTAGCATTGCACTCTGGTTTCAAAACAAAAGATCTTTCTAAGGAAGTATCAGTGTGCTAAACTACATTATAACTATGCTAAACTATAATCTATTAAGCATATTTGGAACTTTTTAATGTATTTTGTTACATGCCTGTCACCTGTATTACTGGAGGTGGCATATCTGTGTTATTTTTTCCCTTCTTTTTGGCCATTTTTCTAAAAAGACACTTTGTTCTGAGAGCTCATTTTACTGCTTGGATTTAATGCTGACTTTGGAGTATTTGAATATGTGACTCTGTCTTTATCTCAGAACTCTGTATTTCACACTGTGTATTTCACTGCACTACCACTGCTTTATTTGCTTAGGGAGACTATACAGAATCTAATATAATTGCCTTTTATCTTTTAACTGTTAAGAGTTACTGTCTTTATTTTCAATATACAGAGACAACTGTGGCCCTGTCATGAGCCCAAGTACAGGTTCTACACAGCTGAAGTTGTAAATGGACACATCATGTTTTCAGAAATTTTATATTTAGATATGAAGGTAGTAATTTCTCTGTCTCCCTGCCTCTTGCACTTCTGTCATTTATATGTTTGTGTCCCATAAGCATTTCCTTAACCCTTTCCTGTGTGAACTGACTCCATGTAATCAGGAATTATTTAGCTTTTAAAAGCATACATAGCAGCATAAAAGAAAAAATGTCTTTTGTAAGCCTAAATAAATTATCCTGTGTTTGGATTATATTTTATTTTTGAAAATAGTCTTCTATGGATTTAATAGAAAATTATCTTATTTTCTTGTATAGCTGAAGATGTCACTTGTAGCTGCAAGTTCTTTATTTTTTTAAAATTTCATAACAACCTTGTAAGAAATCCCTATAAATTTTAAAGAAGATACTACAGAACTATATCAGTATAATGGAATATTATTGGAGGTCTAAGATGAATCTGATCCCAAATCACTGAGCAAAAGTCTTGGCTGTTTTTATTGATTGAGTAACCTTGTATTGTATTTCTGCTCTGCCAGTGCACTGTCTGAAACATAGCAAGTTATCTTCTCCTAAGTGGATTGAAGAGTGCTATGGGAGTTCAGCTACTGTTTATTGCATTCTTAGCTGCAGCACAGAGGAGGAATCCTGGGAGGAAAGGATAGTTTTGATAAATAATTTATACTGTTTTCTTTAAGGTTTAGGGGTTTTTATAACTAGTGGAAAACTAAGTCGTGCTCTTTTGCTCTGTATGTGTCTTGGTAAAGTGGGAGAAAAGCAGAGTGTAATGGAGAAGAGCATATAATAAAGTTCAAGTCATAGAGCAAACTCTTCACCATATCCTGTAAGAATACAATAAGGACAATTTTATTTAGAAATTTTCTAGGGAACTAAGTGGTTATCTTCCTGCAAGCAAAAATGTGTCCAGGAGAAACAGCTTATTGCTGCTTGTTTCTACCATGTTGTTCCATTTCAGATTGAATTACCAGGACACTGAATCTTTGAATCATGGAGTGGTTTGGGTTGAAAGGAACCTTACAGATCATCCAGTTCCAACCCTGCTGCCATGGGCAATGACACCTTCCACCAGACCAGGTTGCTCAGAGTCCCTCAAACCTGGCCTTGAACACTGCCAGGGATGGGGCAGCCACAGCTTCTCTAAATGTAGTCCTGAAACATAATGACATTTTTATATGTAACATTTAGGGAAAAAAAACCCAGACCACAGAAACTGCATTTTAAAAATGCAGTTTTTAAAATTTTAAAAATTTTCTCTATTACAATTTGAGTCTGACTCTAAGAGAATAATCAGCAGTGTCTAAGGTAATGCTGGCATGTCCCTTTCCACTGTTCAGGACAGTATCTCGTGCTCATAATGGGCAACACACTGCTAATTAATCAAATCCTGCTTACAATAAGTGTAAGCAGCAGAGTGGTAAAAGCTGTTGATGCAGAGCTAGTTCACTTCTATGTTAGTAGGAACTACACCAGTATAAAAATTATAGATACAATACTAGAAAAATTCAACTTACATCCAAATGAAATCAAGGCCTTTGACTGTTGTAATTTTGTGGAAGCAGAATTATGCCTTTCATGGGGTGATTGACTGACAAAGAATAGATATCATGTAATGCAGTCCAATTATTTCAAATAACAGATTAATGGCTCTCCTGTTGTGTGGGTGGGATTGCCAGTCAGCCTATTTGCAGCTGATGGCAGGTGTGAATCAGGTTGATGGAATAAATTTTCTTCTGCATGACCCTTCACGCTCCTCTTCTGCTCTATTATTTTGGTCAGTGGGTTGGTTTTATAGTGCTATGCTTTTCTAAAGGCACTAATACCCTTCAGCAAAAGGCTTTAAATTTTAGTTAATTTAAAGAATTAGCATCTCACTGCAATCTCATTCTCAGGAGTCCTTGGTAAGCAAAGTGACCACCTAATAGACATATTTATATTTTCAACTGGATTTGTCAATTGTGTGGATTTTATTTCTGTGTCAGCTGAAAACTGTAAACCTCTGTGACTTTGCTTTTACCTCAGGCCCAGCAAAGACGATGGCTGTCATATTTGCCCAGCCACAGCCTTGTGAAAAAACTTGTATCCTCATCCTGGGTTACACAAAAGTATATAATAATAGTTTTCTTTTCTGATTCCCCTTCCGCAGGTTCGTTGTGATAGTGAAATACAAGAGCTACGTCAGTGGCAAAAGAAGCTGAGACAGGAGAGGCACATTACTGAGGTAGTGAAAAAATTCTGGATTAAACAGGAAGCCAAAGGCAAGTGCATTAAATTGTGGGGTTGGTTGGCTTGTTTTTACACTGTGTTGAATTTTTATACTTGGAGTTGTATTAAAAAATAGGCCACACAGTAGGACACTAATCCTGAGAGAGAAGGTAATTCTGATGGAAATGCTTGGCTGTTTCTTTACTTGAGTTGCCTGTGCAGCTGAAAGTGGCAATGAAAAATAAAATATACAATTCAATAATTTCAGGAAACTATGACAATTTGCTGGCACAGTGTTTTCTAGGGCAGGATTAGACACCTACCAGCTACTCATCATGTAAGGCTGATTTTTACCAGATGGGTTGTAGTACAGTTTTTCTAAACTGTCAGATTTCTAGCCGGTAAATATTCTATTGGCACTTTCCTGTTATTTCCTGTAGTTATTTACAGCAGAACTTGGCCTGTACAGATCTAAAAAAACAAAAAAAACCAAAAAACCCAACAAACCCAAACAGCCTAAAAAATTGCCAAGGGAAATAAGGCCAGATTGCTTCAAGAACTGACACTGTCATGTGCTATTTTTTTTTCTCTGTTTGTGGACAGGAGAGTGATAATTTTTGGTGATAGGAGTTTTTTACAAAGGCTGTGTAGATTCTCCAAACATTTATTTATATTTATGTTGCAGTTTTAATCTATGAAATATCAGGTTTTATTTATCAATCCTTGAAACTGCCTAAGGGATATTTTATAGCTGAAAATAATTAATTCAGAGGAAGAAAATTATACATCACAACTGGGGAAAACTGTGCTTATATGTGTGTGTGTGTGTGTATATATGGGGTGTTCATATGCAGTAAGGGAAGTAGAATTCTTGGTTTTAGTAGCTTAGACCTAGAAGATTAAATAATGTAGTAACAGTGCACAAAAATTATGAAAAGATAAAATCAGTGAGACATTAAGTTGTCTTCTTGCAGACTTGACTGACATATAAAGAAAATTTTGGCACAGCAACCAAAATTTTCTTCAAGTGGGATTTCATAGCCTTTCTACTACAGTTTATTATGAGCTGACTTGGTAGAAAAGTGTAGGCATTTTTTCTTTTTGAAAGAAAACACAGATATATCTGGATTTAAGTATCTGAAAACAGCGAACTCAAATTTCCTTTCATAAAATTATCCTTGTTATAAATTTAAAATATAAAAGATGAATTTTTCTCTTTGTAACACCTGGTTAATTCTGTCAGTGTTAATTGTTGGAGAATTGCATTCCTGGAGATAATGACAGAGGTTGACCTTGCAGGTTTGCTAATGCCTTTTAAGTGATTACAATTTAATGTTTGTGGCTTAGACTCTGTTTTCAATTTATTCATATTTTTATCATCTCATCAAGGCATGTTTTTTCATTCATTCCATTGTCCGTGGTACCAGTAAGAGATGCATGTTTCCCACTTCCAAGAAACAAACCTATATATTCACAATACAGCAATGTGAAAAAGGATGAACGTGATTTTAGATGATTACGCAGTCATAGCTTGTAGTCTTCATGCATATAAAATCTTAAAGGTGAAAATTACAAGTTCATTTTCAGAGGACAAGTGAACCCATTCTCAAAATGCTGCTGTGAAGGCAAATAGGGGTAAGGGTGGACTGTGTCATTTGACAGTTGAATTGATTAAAACTCCCATGTCTGAAGAAATTTAATCTTTCTATATTTAAGTTGTTTTGGAGACATTTGTAGTGATAAGACTTCCTTTGCCAATTGTTTCAAAAGGAAAAACAAATTTCCTTTTAATCACTCTCACAGAGCTTTCCTGTCATCAAATAATTTATTTTAGGACTGTAGAACACACAGCTGTTTCACCACTTCAAAGAAAGTTGCAAAATTGCCCCTTTTCAATTTTTTTTCCTTAAACCAATATAAGTTTATACTGCTTATATCACATCAGCTTTCAATATTATCACAGTGTTTCTGTAATTTCTTAACTGAGCTCTGCTAAGTTAAGAGTATCCACACATCAAATAGCCTTGGGGCCCAAACAGATGGCTATTTGGAAACAGCTGTACAAGTTTGAGAAGTTACTGTCCAGGGGTTTTCATTATCAATATCAGCTGTGATGCCATAATTCATCTTGTTAGTGCTCCAGCTGCTCTTTTTTCTGCTGTTATCCTCCTGCTGTTTATTGGTGTCGTTAAACCCTATTGCATTGTAAAGTCAGCAGGGTTAGTTTAACTGCTTTTACCAGTGGTTCCATCCAACCCAGCTGACTTCGTGCTGAAGTGGATTCTGAACACCCACACAGTAATGAATGGCATAACTCAACTACTTTTTAACCTTGTCTTTCTAAGCATTTGTTTCAACCAAATTAATTAATTTGGTTAATTCAATTAATCCCCTTTAATTAAACCACTGAACTCTTTGCATCAAGCAGACAAAGGATTTATTGTTACTAAAAACTCAGATATCACAAATAAAGCATTAAGATTCATGGTCAAAGGGAAAAAGAATAACATTTTTAAGTAGATACAGCATTTTATTGTGAAATTAACCACGTCAGGAAATATAATGAAGGATCTCTTTAATTTGTATATGGCTGTTTATTAGATGCTGTAAACAGTGTTGAATCTAACTGTAGGGGATGAATGGTGAGCTGCCAAATAGCTTTTAGAAAATGATGACTCGAGCAGTAATGTGATTCTATTGACACTACTAGAAAGATCAGCATACCTTCCACGGAAATATCAGCCAAAGCCTCAGTTAATGTGAGCTAACAGGCAGAGTCTGCTTTGTAGGGATTTTCAGCACAATGAAACCTTATTGCAAGGGTATGTTCTAGGTAAAAACATAGTTTTATGAAATGGTGTTTGTATACGATACTTTAAAAAAAAAAAAAGATAGTAAGAAGACATTAGAATTGTAAACTCATTGTAATTAACAAATCCAAAAAGTAATTCTTCATTTATTTTTTGTGTTTCAGAAAGTGCATTAAACCACATCCGTTAGTTTTGAAACAAACAGTTGAGTTTTCATTAGAACTAGAGCGGAGTGAAACACTTGTGGCGGGTGTTTTGTTTTTGCAGTGGAGCCCAGGAGCCTGGTTTAGATGGGGAGATGCAGCCCCGTTCCGAAGGCAGCGCTGTGCCCCCGAGGCCGCTGCCATCCCCGGCTCCCTGCCAGCGGCGCTGCCGGCTGCCTCGGCACGCTCCTCGGCTCTGCTCCGCCGCCCTGGGCAGGCTTTTCTGCTGGATCAGCCTGCCGGGCTCAGCCGGCAGTGCCACCCTTTCCACCCACAACAAGGGCTGCGGGCAGCACACAGGCCGGGGAGGAGCCGGGCCGTGAGGGCCGCTCGCTGTGAGGCGAGCCCGGGGAGCTGCGGGCCCACAGCTCCACAGCACGGCCAGCTCTCCCACTCCTCACCGTGAAACCCTTCCGTCCTCTCTCACTACGGCTTTTACACTCTTTACTATTACTTCTGCAAAGTGCTCTAGGATAGAAAGTGTGAAAACTGCATGAAAATCACTTTATGCATTAATAGCACCTTGCAGGACTGTTGACCTCTTTTAATGCATATGCTGGCAAAATTTCTTTCTGAGTGCGAAGAAAAAAGCGTGTTTCTTTCAGCATATATCCAGGATCATAAAGCTACAGCATACTTGGCTGACATTTTATTTGCTATACTGTTCCACTGCTGTGTAAAATTACATTCCACAAAATGAACTATATTTAAGGTATGACAGTCCTTACTCTGAACAATTTCAGACTGAAAATGTAGAGATAAGCATAACACTTAAGACTCAGTTTAGTGGCTCACAGCTTTAGACTTGAAGGGAGAAAGAATTTTCTCTAGTATAGCACAGCTGATGGGATAAATTTGTTCCAGAATTTTTTACAGAATTAAAAAATCGTTTGCTTTCTACAGAAAATGCAGTTAATTAAAACTCAACCTCCTGAGAATGTGAGTGAATAGCAGATTGTGCTTCTGAGCACTGTTTTGTGCAGATTTAGTACTGATGGGACAGCACTGGAAAGGAAAAAGTGTCTGTCCTACAGTGCAAAGAATTTGTAAAGTATTTAAACTTTTTAATGAAAATACCAAAATCTTGGTTCATCACTTCTGTGACCAAAACACTCTGCTGACACTCTGTTGCAATGGTTACTTCTCTGCTGTTGGAAAGACCAATGCTGCTCTTACACAAACAGTACTTTCAGCTGTCCTAAGGGAATTTTTTCTTGTTCTTCTTATCTGAAAAAAAAATTGTAACATTTTAGTTTTAAAAATCAGTGTTCTTAGGGAAAATAGTAAAAGAAATAAATAGTCCTGGGTTTATGGCAATACCTATTGTGACCCTATTAGCTGGCAGGTCTTATAATCAACTGTAGCCTGGGCTTTGCAAGGCACTTGAGTAACAGAGAAAGCACAGTGTGTGGAAAATGTAGTTAAATCAAAATAAGACAGAAAATAATCTTCACAGCAGGTGAGGAGGGTGATTTCCAAATACAGGAGGGAATATTCTTTTACATTCCATTCAATTTTCAAGCTGTATTTTTCCTTTGGCAGTAAAAGTTACTACTTACCTATCTGGAGAGATTTGAAAAATACTTCTTTCGTGGAAACAATCTTTTCCCTTGGGAAGATGCATCCAGCAATACTCTGTAGAACTCAAAATGGAGGTGTTCTGGAAAATCCTTGCAAATATGAGTGAGATGAAAGGGAGAACAGGCTGCATATTTGTGGTGCTAGAGCAGGAACAGATGCATAGTGTCAAGAAGCAAAGAAATGCAGTTACTCCTTATACAGCTGTGATGTCTCCACCTGAATGATGAGGAAGGATTCAAAAGCTTAATATCAAGTTAAGCTGAACAGGGGAAGTCTAGGCATACTTTTGAAGGATGCCTGTATGCAATCACATCACATCAAAGCAGAATTAATGGGAGAAGAGGAAAATGCTAAATTCAGAACCAGGAAAAAATGGCTACACTGTGAAACTTCTTTAAATTCATTCCATAAACATCCTTATTATTGGGGGCCATAAATGAAGTTACAACCACATGCATG